AAAAAAAAAAAAAAAAAAAAAAAAAAACAAATCAATGGTAAGTCGCACCCCTCATACTTATAACAACGTGAACATCGTAATGGAGTTCATGATAAATCGATAGCAATATAAACGAGTTGGGACCATCCAACAAAGATAAGAGAACACCAAAAGTTGGGCCAAATTTATAGCGTAGTCAGACGAACAACTCAATAGTAGATAGACGTCAAGAACGAAGAGGAATTTTACCTTCTTCGGAGCAGCGAGACCGAGACAGAACGAGCTGATGACCACGATCCTTCAACCACGACGACGAACAAGATATGGACAGAATTCAGACTCAAACGACGTCTACTCCTCTCGGAAAAACTCTCGGTTTTCTTTAGTATATATCTTAATTATTTCTCTTAAGCTATTAGGTGTATTCTTGTTCTAAAAATTCCAACAGAAAACAATTTTTCCCCTTTTCCACTCTCTGCCTCAATTCAAAAAAAAAACTAAAATCTCACTCTCCAAAAAAAAAATCCCCCCCTTCCTAATGAACAGAAAAGGTGTTTATATAAGGGGAAATTAGGGTTCGGACTTTTTGGGGGGAAAAGATGAGGGCAATTTCAACTTCAAGGACTACAAATTTGAATTTCAAAAACCTTTCACCATTAAAGGAAAATCTACTTTCTCTGAAATTTTCGCCCTATTCCGAAAGAGGAAGGGGAAAAACGCGTGTGCCTACTATTGCTCTGTTGCCACATTAATGGGGATAAGGACGTTTTGAAGAAGAAGCCAAAGGGAAGCAGTGCACTGCCTGGCTGCTGGACGTTTTCTGGGTTTTGGCTTTTTCTGGAAGAAGAAGAAGAATAAAGGGTATAGGGGTGGGGTCGGTCAAGTATATATTGTATGTTGTTATAATGTAATGTGTTTATTTTTTGAGTTGGAGGAATTAAAGGGTGGGCCTAGGTAGTTGGGAATCATTAAGAAATAAAATAAAATAAAACAAATAAATAAATTAAAAGGGGTGGGGTCGGCATTGGTGTTTGCTGCACGTTGTTGGTTATTTTAGTATTGTTGTATGTTATTGTATGCATATATGGGTTGGGAAATATGGGACTGTTTTGGTGGAGGAATGGGTTGGAAAAATGGGCTGATTTGGGGCTTAATTTGGGTTGGAATTAAATGGCCCAATTTTGGTCTTTAAAAGAATTGGATGCAAGGTGGGAAAAGGGTTAGAATTGTAATAAAATGGCTAGGTCTTGAATTGAGGATTTGGCCAAAAGAATTGCAATTATAATCGATTAGGATTACGAAATTAACCAAATCAGATTTACTTGGAGAACGTGGCCGAAAAATATAAACAAATAAATAAATAAGATGACTTTAATTTTAATTAATTAACGAGCTTCTTATTCTTAACGAAATAAAATAATTAACTTGATAATAATATAATTAATTTAAACATGAACTAATTAATTCAAAATCGTAATTATGATTTAAATTAAATTAAGTTAGTAAGGCACTTAGCTAAAAAGAAATAAAAATCTTTTGATATGATTTTTCAAATATTTATAAAATATACCAATTAGACACATAATTATATAATAATTAACTTAATTATAAACTAGTTAACTCGGAATATAAGTTATTAATTAATTTAAACCAAATAACCAAATGTTTAAATAAAACTAAAATCTTTTTGAGACAATTTTCGAACGTTCATAAAATATACTAATTAGACATATAATTATATAAAATATCATATTTATTATCTTAAAATTTATAAAAATGACAAAACTACTTTAAATGAATTAAAAATTATTTTGAATTTTATAAAGCCAATTATTTCAAATCATTTAGAATTTAGGAAGCTCGATGATTAATTTATATTGGGGAGGGTCAAAATTGGGTGTCAACAAGATTAACAATCACTTGTCGTTACATATATGAATACCTTCATTTTTCACTAAATATTTCGAATTTGAATTTAATAATATATTTTTAAAATTTAATGTTATTGAATGTCTATTACGGTTCCCCTGTTGTCGATTGGAAAATTGAGGCATTAAAAGATGTGGGAATTAATGAGATGAATTGCATACTACTAGTTGGTTAATATCAATGGTTAATCCGACTTATAAAGCTACAACATAATCAAATTCAAACGAACAAAATGTTGAATTGAATCGTATCAAGGTTATTATTATTTTTGTAATTTGTTATTTTATTTTTTCAATTAAGAAAACGAAAAAGAATACAAGAATAACAACAGAATAAATGCCTTATATCCAAATCAAGCAATTTATGCCAAAGAGTCCTGACAAATGATAATTCAAACGAAATTCCACACTTTTTAACTAGGAAACGTTCGATTTTCATTTCGATTTACAAACTCGTGTAATACCCTCCTAACTTCAAATTCAAAAAGAAAGGAATTACAGACTGTGGGCATGGTGGTGCAGCCAACACAATACTCATTAGTACATTCCTCTAATCAGGGGGGGAGCCAGTGGAACAATTGAATCGCCTTTGTTGAAAGATTATAAATGAACTCTAGTATATATAAGATGTTAAATTTTTCATACGATCACTGACTTCAATAATATTTCCTACGACCCATCATCTCCACATTTCTCCTATTATTATTTCCTCTGCAGCAGCAACGACAAATTAAGGACAACAAAATCACAATCAACCCAATTGAAATGATAAATCCTACTGGGGAATCCATCAACATCTTCAAAATATCTTCTATTGATTTCATCTTCTCCATTACTGCTGTACCTCTTACCTTCAATTCACCTCTTCCAAATTCCATCACTCTACTTACGACAACAACAACAACATATTCAACGTAATTTCACAATTGAAAAAGAACAAAATGTATGCGGATCTTACCTTTACTCTTCGATTCAAGACTAATTCGCCTCTTAGTTTTCTCTCTTTGATACAAACTTTTTAGATCAATAGTGTACATAAACAATTTCACAAGGTTTGATATTAATTTCTATCACCTAACTTTCACCGAACAACATTAATTATTGGATCGATACAGTTGATAAAGCAACAACTTGTTGGATTGTAGATGCATCTAAGCCTGTCCCACTTCAATAAATACTCCCTCCGTTTCATTTTATATGTCATCCCTTTTTATAAATAATTAATCCATAATACTTGTCATTTCATAAAATTAATGCATAAATTACAATATTCTTCCTTTTTTATCCTTGTGAATTATTAGCCTTAAAAATATACATTTGACCAACTTAGAAAAGCTAAGTAAATGATTCATGTTTATTAGTTAAATTAATTAATCAATATAAATTAATTCATATTTATTGATTGAAAACTTGAGTTTCAAAAAAATTATATAAGAATAGAAGGGTAAAGTTATATTATTTTTTAATTCAAGTGCAAAGTAAAAAGGTGACATATAAAATACAACGGAAGGAGTATAAAATAACTAAATTCATAACAAAATATTTATAAATTTCGAAATACAAACACATAGTATACAAAATTACATAAATCCACACCATAAGTGATATCACGATAGATGAGATACCTTCATTTTTAACTAAACATTTCGAGTTCAAACTTAAAAATTAAACAAAATACGTAGATATCGAATACCAAATAATTATACCGAAATTATTTTTTTCGGGAGCGGAGATCGCGGAAATAGGATTTAGGACTTTTTTCAAAATCACGCCTGGTCATCCTTACATTATTCCTTCCCGGAGCTTTCATCGTCTTCGCATTTCCGCCGTCGCCGCCGCTGCAGCACCGGCGGAGGAACAAAATTAGCAGAAATCCAATTGGAATGGTGTAATATATTGGAGCTATACGGATCGAATTTATCGAAGTAGATATCAGTGGAGGAGCTTTTTCCAGTAACCAGTCCGATGAGGTTCGTACGAACGGCGTCGTTTTCACGACAATCTGCTTCAGATTTTCCAGTAACCCATCAAATAAGATCCGCGCATATTCCGATACAAACGGTGTTGTTCTTTTGACGATCTCCTTTGCGTTTTCCACCATATTCATCTCCTTCAATTTCTCAAGTGCAGCTTTTGCTACGCTCTCCACGTTCTCCATTGATAATTTTCTCAAAAAAAATAAAATCTCTGCTCCGATTATTGTCTCTCTCACTCTGTGTATGTGACCGGCTTTTATAAAAGGGGAACGAATGACACTAAAATTTACTTATTTGTTACTCCGTCTACTTTTAATTGTCATAGTTTCAAATAATAATACTTAACTTTGATTAACATATTATCATATATTTTTTCATATATGCAAAAAATTGGAATGTATAATGTAGTTTTGAATATTTAAAATATCGAATTAATGTAATTTAATTTAACTTTGAAAATTAGTTAAATTAACTTTTAAAAAACGTAACATGATAATTAAAAGTGGACAGAGAGAGTAACTATGATTAGTGGCAGAGTTATAATTTTCACAATTCGAAATTTGAAAAAGTAAATACAAAAGAAAAAAAAAAGTTGTATAAAGAGTGTAATTTGAATGAACTCCAAAAGCTTCATATTTTATTGTCTATCATACCTTTCTATGATTCAAATTATTGATATATAAAGTATGTGATAATAGAAAATAAATTATCTAATAAAATAATACACTATAATATAATCCGATACATTATAAATCAATACAAAAAAACCATCCAAACATAGTGTAAGCCCATGGTTTTGGTAGAAGGCAAGAGATTCCGATAAGGTTCCCTTTTTTCCAAAGTTAAAATTAAAAGTGTACTATAAATTTAAATGGAGAAAATGATCAAATGATCTCCTAACCTAGCTGAATTTTCAACTACACACTTATATTTTATGGAGGTCTTATTACCCCTTAAACTATTTTAAAGCGGAATATAAACCACCCTAAAACTACACAACCACATTCTTTCCATGTAGTGTGCACCATGTGTTGCTAGTTGTCAAATATCACGCATATAATAAAAATAAAAAGTAATTATATTTCTTCTTCTTCATTTCTCCTCTCTTCACTTTTCCTAAGACATGCTTCAATTTCTTTACCTGTAACTCTCCAAAACCTTTACCTCTCTCCACTCCATTCCTCTCTAATCACTCCTCACCCCCACTCCATCCTTCTATAACCCACAAATTAAATATCAATATTCATCAGCAACACCACAACTACTTTATTAACTATTTAAACCTCCATTTTCACCTCTCCCACTCAAATTCCACAATTGTAATACCAATCTTAAGCTTGAAGTTCTCACTACTCGTCTTATGATTGAGGATGGATACACCCTTTTATTTATTTTTAAATAGTGGAGGATTTAGGCTTTCTACACTAGAAGAAATCACTGAATTATCGGTATTGAGTAGAATCAATTGATTGTTGTTGCTCAACTTCGTGAAATTCTTATTGTGTGTAGTTTAAATTCTTCATCAGACATTAATAAAGACAAAAAATAAGATTTGAAGCTTGATAAATTTTGTCTGAGCAAGAAAATTAATGACTTTGATTTATTTTTTACTACATAAATAATAGTTTTAATGATTATTTGGTGATTTTGATGGTTGTGAATAATTGTGAGACAAATTATGAAAACGGATTAGAAGATGGGTGAGGAGATGGGGCTGCCATAGTGGTTCAACAATGGTCGTGGAGATGTATAGGTAGGGAGGGTGTTGAGTGATGAGAGAGAGAGAGGAGGAAAAATGATAAAAGGAAAAAGAAATGAAAAAAGTAAAGAAAATAAAATTAAAGGCAAAAGTTGGAAAATGTATTTAACAAAAAGTTAAAATATTTTTAAAATATTTTTTTGATCAGTTCTTTATCTCTCACATGTCTTTAAGAGAGTGAACACACTCTCTGTGCCATGTCAGCACTTAAGGGTGCATTTATTCCGCTTAAAATAGTTCAAGGGGGTAATAGGACATCCGTAAAATATAAGTGTGTAGTTGAGAATTCGACTATAGATTAGGGAGGCATTTGATCATTTTCTCAATCTAAATGCATATGATATACTACAACTACTTTTCTGTTTTAATTAAATTGTGTTACTTTTGAAAAGAAAACATTTGAAAAATAATGTTATTGGTTACATTGAGTAGTAAATCCTTAATTTCAATATTTTACCATGTGTATTTAAAGCTATAAAAGAATAAATTTGATATACACACACATTTTTAATTTAAAATTACAAATAAAAAATTTTCTATTACTTTTTAAAAATTTGTGTCCAGTAAGCTTGGGCTTTGGGGGTTAGATAGAATTCTAGCAAAAAGTTTACTTTAAAAAATCTTTAAATGAATATTATCATAATAATTTCAAAAATTATATAACATTTGAATGCACTAAACCTATTCAGCATAAATAAATAATTGTTATGAAATTATAATAAGTTGAGATATGAACAATTCAAATACAAAAAAAAAAAAAAAACTCTTGTTGACTGACCTAGTTGAGTTTTAATATTTAATATTAGTTTTGTGTTTATAAGCAATTCTTTCTGAAATATCTGGGGTCCATTTTTCACATAAAATATGGAACAACCTTAACATATTAGTTTAGATAAATATTAATTTTCTAACTTTTCATATTCTATTCTTTCATAAGAAGACTTTTATGGTCAAGATGAAAGCTTTTTTAGAAACACAATTTATTTAGCTAAAGTTGGTGGATGAACCCCAATTTTCTCCAATGGATTAGTTGGGCAAAGATAATGACAAAAGACACATATAATTATTACTATCTCTCACTCATTTTATATGGTACCGTTTAACTTTGCATGGTGTTTGAAAAAAGAAGAAAGACTTTTAAAATTTGTGGTCCAAAATAATTTTAGATATTTGTATAGTTATAAATTATTTCATTAAGAGAAATTTCAAAGTTAAATTGTTTCTAATAATTATAGTAAGATAACATTCTTTTTGTACATCAATCTTTTGGGTCATGTATACCCTTAAAACTAATTGATTGACGCATAGCATCATCTAAACAATATACCCGAAAATTGATTGTTGTTGTGTATCAAGATCACATAACATAACAAGGGTAAAGACATGAGTTAACATCCCAAAAGGCAAATATATGCCCAAAATTGGATGATAAGAGCAAATATACCAAAAAAATATGACGAAAAGTAAATATAATTCTTTTCTAAAAGTACAATGATAAATATAACCCTTTTCCCATTAAGAAATATAAAATAATGGTAAATTTCATTGTCTAGCATTTTTAGTTACAATTACAACAATAATAAAAATTTAAAAATATGTGCATAATATTTAGTAAGAGATTAGCACCAATCTATTAAGAAAACTTTAATTAATAGCAACCAAAAGCTAATTTCATCTTCTTCTCTTCTGTCCCTTTCCCTTTCCCAATTGTCCTGATTTAAATGCGTGCTCTTGTTCTTGAAGAAAAGCCAGATTTTTTGAATCATTTTTCATTTTTCAAGTTAACTTAATTATTCATTTTTCAAGACTACTTTTAGAGTGTTTCTTCCAATTTTATCCTTCATTTGAATTTTCAATGTGATGACTTCTCCCAAATATAACTTCAATCATGTGACGATCAAGGACGATTTTGAACATTTTCTCCCAAATATGACAAGTAAATATAAACTAAGGGAGTAGTTATCATTACAAAAGGTTGTGCTCATTGTAGATTGTAGATCTTCATCAAATTAAAATGCTTAATTAGCTAGACAAGCATATCACCAGGAGCTTTCATCATCTTGCCAATAGGTTTTTTGCTTCTCAAGCAACATAAAAATAGATATCTCATCATCATGATAATAAGTTTTTTGCTTGATCTCGAACAATATATAAAGAGATCTTTCACAGTCTTCCAACAATATATAAAGAGATCATTCACAGTCGTCTTCCAACAATACATAAAGAGATCTTTCACGGTCTTGCAACAATCTATAAAGAGACTCACAATCTTAATCAACATAACACACGCGGTTTTGAGATGATCCATTATACTGAGCAGTATTCCGACTTGGAAGTAGAAAAAGTATATGAAGATAGCTAGAAATACCGCTATTATGAGAAAGTGTAAAGCTAAGTGAAACCAATATTTGATCATCTTCTCGATTCTTGTCTCTAGTGAAAACAACTCGTCAAACCAATTCATATATAAACTCTTCACTTGCCAAGTGAAATTGTCAAGCGCTGCTAGCGCTTGCCCACCAAAATTCTCAAGCGCTAGTAGCACTTGCCAACCAAATCTCCTAAGGACAAGTGACACTTGTCCGAAAACATTTTGCAGTGACAATAGTACTTGCCAACCAAAATTTCTCAGGGCAAGTGACATTTGTCCGAAAACATTTTGTAGTGACAATAATACTTGCCAACCAAAATTCTTGAGGGCAAGTGGCACTTGACTGAAAACTTTTAGCAGCGACAATAGTATTTGCCAACCAAAATTTTTGAGGAACAATAGCCCTTGTCCGACCAAGTTTACGGGTTTCATTAACAATTGGCCAATAAAATTCATCATTATTTGTAGCACTTGACCACCAAAATTCATCAGTATGAGTATGGCTTCCTTCAATTTCTCCATCACAAAGCTCATTATTTCCTTCATAACCATTTTTTTTTCTATCTAGATCTCTTGATAGAAAGAAAAAGATATATTTGTAAGGAAGTATGATATCTCCCTATAAAATAAAATTTTGTGTCTCATTCCTAGTAATTTACATTCTACATTTCTTTTAGTCTCATGGCATGTGGGTGGGACACATCTTCCACCCAAGTTTTCTTTTTAGTACAAAAGATAATAGTAATATTTTCACTTTTATAAGACTTCAACTTTAATCCTTCCATTTCATGACCGCAAAGAATCATTTGCTTTAAATAAACAGTTATTTAGTTAAATACTATTTTCTTCGTCCCTAATTACTTGTCCACTTTTAAATTGATATACCTATTAAGAAAATAATGATTGACATAGTGAGTTTACCATTTTACCCTTATTAATTTGTGAAATGATGAATTAAAAACTTAAGATTTTCAAGAATTTCTATTTTTTTTCAAAATAATAAATTGAGGGTATAATAGGTAAAAGAATGTCTTTTCTTGATTTGTCAAAATAGACAAGTAATTAGGTACACCTAAAAAAGAAAAAGTGAACAAGTAATTAGGAACCGAGAGAGTAATTGACTGTAAGTGTAAGCATAT